GACAGAAGTTTTTAAATTTTTTTTTATTGCCGATTTTTTGCTTTGGGAGTCTCCAGTTAAAAAATAAGAAGAAAGACGTTTTTATTTTAAGAATTTTAATAAAAATTTTAAAAATGTACTAGCTTTAAAATGGTTTATACCCAAGGAAAAAATAAAAAATAAGCTTTTCTGGAATAAAAAATGTAGTGGAATAGTGTATTCTGTGCCAAAGGCTAGACTACAACCTGATCACTGTTATTTTTTTAATATATAACAAGAGAACGAGCAAGATCTGGAGTTTAAAAATGGTGTAAATAAACAGTAAGGAGGTATTTATTTATTTATTTTTATTTAGAGAATGAGCGATCTGGAGTTTAAAAATGGTGTAAATAAACAGTAAGGAGGTATTTATTTATTTATTTTTTTAATATAACAAGAGAACGAGCAAGATCTGGAGTTTAAAAATGGTGTAAATAAACAGTAAGGACACATTTATTTATTTATTTTTATTTCACAGATGAGTTTGCTTTCAGAAAGAGTACCCACTCCTGTAACTGCAGACTTGACTTCATCAATAAGTCTAGAGTCAAAAAACATGTAAGTTGATGCTTAATTTATGCACATGCACAAGTATGAACACATACTGCTACTTTATCCACAACTGAGGCATCATATAACCCTGTGGTTTTTTGCCAAAAGCATAGGGGTAGGTAGAGGGAGTGAAGTCATCCTAGCATAGGTCTCAGTAGAATTAAAAAATTGTTCTTGCGGGTCAACCAGGGGATCAGGCCCAGCCAGCACGGGTTCATGAAAGGCAGGTCCTGCTTGACCAACCTGATCTCCTTCTATGACCAGGTGACCTGCCTAGTGGATGAGGGAGAGGCTGTGGATGTGGTCTACCTGGACTTCAGTAAAGCCTTTGACACCATCTCCCACAGCATTCTCCTAGGGAAGCTGGTGGCTCACGGCTTAGACAAGTGTACTCTTTGCTGGGTCAAAAACTGGCTGGATGGCCGGGCCCAGAGAGTTGTGGTGAATGGAGTTAAATCCAGTTGGCGGCCAGTCACGAGCGGTGTTCCCCAGGGCTCAGTTTTGGGGCCAGTCTTGTTCAATATCTTTATCAATGATCTGGATGAGGGGATTGAGTGCACCCTCAGTAAGTTTGCAGACGACACCAAGTTGGGCGGGAGTGTTGATCTGCTCGAGGGTAGGAAGGCTCTGCAGAGGGACCTGGACAGGCTGGATCGATGGGCCGAGGCCAACTGTATGAGATTCAACAAGGCCAAGTGCTGGGTCCTGCACTTCGGCCACAACAACCCCATGCAGCGCTACAGGCTTGGGGAAGAGTGGCTGGAAAGCTGCCTGTCGGAAAAGGACCTGGGGGTGCTGGTTGACATCCGGCTGAACATGAGCCGGCAGTGTGCCCAGGCGGCCAAGAAGGCCAATGGCATCCTGGCCTGTATCAGAACTAGTGTGGCCAGCAGGACTAGGGGAGTGATCGTGCCCCTGTACTCGGCCCTGGTGAGGCCGCACCTCGAATACTGTGTTCAGTTTTGGGCCCCTCACTACAAGAAGGACGTTGAGGTGCTGGAGCGTGTCCAGAGAAGGGCAACGAGGCTGGTGAGGGGTCTGGAGAACAAGTCTTCTGAGGAGTGGCTGAGGGAACTGGGGTTGTTTAGCCTGGAGAACAGGAGGCTGAGGGGAGACCTCATCGCTCTCTACAACTACCTGAAAGGAGGGTGTAGCGAGGTGGGTGTCGGTCTCTTTTCCCAAGTAACTAGTGATAGGACGAGAGGAAATGGCCTCAAGTTGCGCCAGGGGAGGTTTAGATTGGATGTAAGGAAAAATTTCTTTACTGAAAGAGTGGTGAAACATTGGAACAGGCTGCCCAGGGAAGTGGTTGAGTCTCCATCCCTGGAGGTATTTAAAAGACGAGTAGATACGGTGCTTAGGGACATGGTTTAGTGGGCATGGTGGTGTTGGGTTGCCGGTTGGACTCGATGATCTTAGAGGTCTTTTCCAACCTTAATGATTCTATGATTCTATCCTATGATTCTTGACCTTTCAGGACTTTCTTGGCTTACAGAGTTGTGTCTAGTCTATGTAAAATTGTCTTATAGTTGATTCTAACTACAGAAATTGGTTTGAGGAAAATGTGAATGAGAAAGCATAAAACAAAATAGCTATCAGAGTTTATCTTACGGCTTTGATGTGGTGTTAATTTAAAATGCTGTTCTGCTGAATGTTATCTACACCTTCAAAATACTATGTAGCAAGATTGGCAGCATTCTGGCTGAAAGCCTGATACTTATTAAGTGAAAGGCATCCTTCCTTTTATACTAAAACTTGATGTCCCTTTATAGATGTTTGTATGCATTAAGATGAGAAATATACAAATATTTGTGAGCCTGAAAATTCACGGTGATGTTGGTGTTAGTGCAGAACCTAGATAATTAAGTAGATTCTTGTTTATACTTTACCATAGATTTCATGTATAATTTGCAAAGATACCTCAACAGTTATTACTCTGGTCTTTCACGTGGTGGCACGTGAACTGGTTATAGCAATTCAAGTCTAGTGGTAAAAAGAAATCTAGGGATGTAGAGCTCTGACTGATGAGGCTGTCACTAATCACTACCATTGACATAAGCTACAATTTCCTCCTAGCATCTAGATTTTTCATTTAACTATGGAACGAGACATGCTGATATATTTCTGGGTGAAATTTTTGCTTCTGAACATGACATGGCAGGGATTCTGCAGGAGAAGTGATTAAAATTTGAGGTAATGGTTGACTGCTACGAGAAAAGCTGCATGCTGCTTGCTGGTGATAGGAGTCAAAAATGGGAAATGAGAACTAGAGATGAGAATCCAGTAAGCAAATGCTTTTAGAGAAGCAGAATCACAGAAGTCTAGTAATACCTGCAGGGATGGTACCTAGTCAAAGGCGATGTAATTGCTTCACTTTTCTTTTTAGGCCACAGAATGTTTTGCAGGGCAGAGGATATCATCATACTTTATTCTTGCAATTGGTGTTCCTCCTGCCATGTCTATAGAAAATATTTTCTCTTTACTGCTGTTAGTACGTGAAGCTGTTGTGTATATATAGCACCTTATTTTCATAATTCTGTACTAATTTCTAGCAGGACCCTTTATCTCCTCAAACATGAGTTTTTATTAGTTCCTCCTGGTGTTTTTACATTGGTGAGAAGTTCTGTGCCTGCTTTGCCAATTTGTAACTGCCACATTAATACCTTAAAAGACTTGTCAGATAGTAAGTTGTAAGTACATTTAAGGATGACATGGCTCTTTTGGGTTCCCCATTACATCCTCTTTCTGTTCTGTGTTCCTATCTAACCTTAGTTTTGCCAGGATGAGTTTGAACCTTTGTACAAAATACAGTCTAATACATATTATAACTTTCTCAAATGCTTTTTTTGAACTAACATACAGTAAACATCTAGAGTAAACACAGAGTCCAGTGAATGAAGTGTTGTTGTTTTTCAAAGTTAGAAACTGTAGATTTTCTTTTTTCCCATGCTTTTTTACATCTCTCTTTTAATTATTGTTTTGCTACTCTTGCAGTTTGTTATGGGAAGAGACTTTGTTAGATGCCTTGCTAAATTTTTCTGCCACGCCCAAAGGACTATTTCTGCTTCATAGTACAGGTGCCATGAATGACTGTGTGAACTTTATGTTCAGCAGTTTATCAAAAAAACTCCAGGTAAGCATTACAGAGTCTGTACAGTTTTTCTTTCTTTTAATGATTATAATAAAAATGAATTTAAAATGTAGCTTATCATCTTTGATATTGGTGCCACACTGATTTAAGTTTGTTGGATGTTACTCATCTTCAGAATGTCAGGCATATATTTAGTTTTTCTGACTTTTTACAGTAAAAAGTTTGAAATGCTAAGCAAAATATTTTTCCTTTTTTTCTTCTAAGTGCAAATTTTTCTAGACCAAGTTGGTAGGTGGTGTTGAAGTCTAGATACGCTAGACAATACTTGAAATCTAACCAAAAATTGGATAATATTAATTTTAGGAGAAAAAACATAATGTTACAGACGTCCTACTGAATGTGTGCAAAAAACATAACACCACTAATGTTTTTATTCTTTGCTGACGTTGCATGCCTCAACCATAGTATTTTGCATTTAAATTTTGATGAGATGCTTGACAAAAATGTTTGGTTTGGAATCTGACCCTCGCAAGAGGATAATATCTATGAACTGTTCAAGAGTAACCATACAGTGGATTAAATTCTGTAAACAAGTGTAGGAAAGATCAATATTTAAGAGATCATTTGAGAGTTTCATGCCCTCTGAATAACTAACACTATGCTTTTACATTTGTTACTAACAGACAAATGAGTATGAAGAGTTTGGTAATAGAGTGATTGTTACACAAATGGCAACAACACCAACAGGTGCAGTAGCTCTACAGAGTTCAGGTAAATTGAAGAATGATGTTATTATGAAGAGTTACATGCTGTAGTCTTGCACATTAGAAAAAGATGGTGAGAAAGATGTTAAAAAAGTTCAGCTGAGTGGAATAATTACTCAGTATTAGCAAAGACTGCTTAAATGTCTATTGATTTCTTCTTGATAGAAATTTATTCTTTCCAATTTTTAAGTCATTCACTTATCTTGATGCAGTGTTGTTTGGGTTTTTTTTTCTTACGTTATGCAAAATCTTTACTTCATTGGTTTAGGTTTCCAGCAATTTCCTGTATGTGCATGAAGACATTTATATCTGTTAAAAAATAAGTTGCTAACAATTTGCAAGTGCTTCTTATTGATCTACAGATCAGAATTAATAACTGTTGATTTCTGTAATTTATATATACTTTTCCATGGTTACTGACTGCTCAAAGAGTGAGAAACTGCAAAGGCCTGAATGTCATTGGTGCTCTTATGCTATAGTGAGATGGAATTGAGATTGTCTGAATTGATGATTCTTCTCATATGTCAACCCATACCACAAAGTCCCTTCAGATTCATTCTCAGATAACTCAACTGTTGCCACACCACCCAGCGGTCTAGGTAGTCATTATGCTAAAACTAGAGTCTTATCAATAAAGTAAAGCTACCGTCTTAAGTTGCTAAGGAAGTCCATGAGGTACAAAAGTTACAAATACTCTCTCTGAGTATCTAGAAGTGGCTGGTGTGTAATAAAAATGACTTAATTGGAAGACTGTCAGAAAGGCAGGAAAATTCTGCCGGTCAAGGAAACTGATTGTTAGTTGCTTATTATTTATGCTTCTGGGATCTTTCAGAAAGCAGGGAGCAGATCTATTTGAGGAGTAACCCATCTGTCCTGTTTAAGGTTCTCAGCCAAGTTCCTTCTTGTGGCCCTTGGCGTCAAAGACAAATGGTAGACCAAAGATAATCAGCATTGATTTTTCAACCCTGAGAGGAGGTTGTGTAACATATGTGAAGTTGGTATTAAGCCTGTAACTTACATTTGGAGATTTCAGAGTTAGATGGCTATCTTTCTCCTTTAATATTTAACATTTTAAATTCAGCTAGTAGTGTTTCTCTTACAAAGATTTTTTCAGTCCTTTTCATTGTGGTACGTTTTCATTTATTAATGAGTTATAGTAAACCTGTATTTTTAAAACCACAGAGCCAATGCTAGCTAAGCCTTGATCTGTAGCAGATAACTTGTTAAAGAAGGTCAGCAGCTCATTTACATGGAAGATACATAAAATATGATCCTACTCTAGTATAATAGTCTTTGCAAACTGTTGCTGTAGATTTTAGATTGAATATAAGCAGACCGCTGTAGAAAGGTAGTTTGACTAAAGGATTGATAATAGCAAGGAGAGTAACCCTCAGGCAGTCTGTCTTGTGAAATTTCAGCCACAGTGTAGAGAATTTTGAGAATCTGAGTTACAATTGTAGTGTAAAATGTTTTTTAATATGAAAATTGTTTTTCTGGTATTCTTGCCATTCTCATTATTAGAACAAAAATTTGTTTTAGGCTTTATAAAGGCACTTGTAACTGAATTATGGGCTCTTTTGGAGTGTGGAAAAGATGATTTGAGGATAACCCAACCCAAATCTACTCCAGTTGACCCTATTGACCAAAGCTGTCAGAAGGTGAGAAATTACTTAATCTTCTGTACTGACATGCAAAAAAAACCAGTGGTGTATTTCAGATAGGATGATACATACGTTTCTGTAAATTTTTATTGTGACTATGCCTACTTCTTGGCACGTGGGGCAAAATTAGTACAATACACCAGTCAGATGATGACTGATTGAAAGGATTCTTGTGTTGCATGGGAGGTCACAATGCCAAGAATCCATTAAAGTCAATATAAAATAATAAATAACAATCATGACAAAAGTGAAAGTCTTAAAGTACTGGCCATCAGTTCATGTCTCTGATTACTGTAGTAAGATCAGAGAGAGTGACGTGTGTTAGAGTATGCTGTGTCTCTGGATTTTAGAATTATGTGATAATGAAAATATAATTTTCAAAATTGCTTGTACAATTTGATAGATAATAAATATTTCACAGACACTACTGCCCTTTTAGATTATATAGACACCTGCCAGGGTTTGCAGTCTTATTTTGGGCAGCTGTATTTATGTCAAGTTCAGCCTACAAAGAAGGATAAGAACAAACTTAAAGTAAATGGCAAATAATTGTTAATGTTTACCTGATTATACTTAACTGATTAACATTCCCTTTTGTCCCCCCCCTTTTTTTTGATAAACTTGCTCACTTACCCTGCAGTTTTTGAACTCCTGAGTAAACAAGAAGTACCAAATAAACCAATGTATTCACTCCGCGAAGTACCTACAGATATTATTGTAAGTATAGTTTTTATTTTGAAAGAAAAATAAATACTTCTGTGAAGACATTTTTCCTGAGAAATGTTACTGTAATAATAGAATAAGTGTTTTGTTCTTACTGAAAGATTTTGAAATTTTCTGCATTTTATATTATATACAGCATGCAGGCAGTATATGCACATATCACTTCATGTTAACCTAAATTTTCATTTTGAAATCCTAAAGATAATACAAAATTTGATGCCTAATTTAAAGATCATCTTTTCTGGCTTGTGTTAGAATTGTTTTTCCATGGAAAAAAAAGTGACATACATAAACACCTCAGTGCATGTGGTTACATGCTGGAAAATGCTGGAAAATATCTATACTTGTATAGATATCTATATATATAGATATAGATATACTTAGTATAATATTGCTCTATCACACTATCTGTGGATTTAAACAAAAATTAAAAAAAAAACAAACCCAAACAAATCCTCTCAGGCTTTCTTAATAGCACAGATGTTTCACACACAGTAAAAATCACTAATTAGAAAGTTACTGATTAAGGCATATTTCAGTCCTAAGAAAAATAGTATTACCATTTCTGTATTCAGTATTATTTTGTATTAGTTCATCCAACTGCAATCCATTATTTTTTTTTCTCATCTATAAAGCACAGACAAATTTAATCTGTGACCTTGAGTGGCAGTTAAAATCAGATTTTTTTTCTAATGAGCTAGCACTTTGAATTGCTGTTGTGTTAAAGTGTTTGTTTAGCACAAGCTCTGGATTGGTGGTAGTTCAAGTTGTTTAGATACAGTATATCATAATAGTGTATGTTATGTGTGGAAGGGTTTTTTGTAGTTCTTTTTTGTAATACTGTTTTGATGATTTCAGGAGGAAATGGGATGATAAATTTCATTTTTCCAATCCACTCAATGTTGGTGTGTCCACCAATGGATAGTTCTGTTCAGTCATCAGGTTTTCTGAGGCACTGAGAGCAGGGGAGATAGATGTATGTTGAAGGTGATACATATTTGAGAGCTTTCAGATTGGGGTAGATCTTAAGTAATGATTTTTGTGAATTTTGGAAGCCTATGTTGTTTTGGCTTTTGAGGCACTTCAATGTTTTGATGGAATTCTCTAGATTTCCAGAAATAGCAATACTGATACAATTGTTCAAAGTTCCCTGAACAGTTACAGATGTTTTGAGTGGGATTTGTCTCACTTAACTAATGTGCAACAGTGGGTTTTGTAAGCCTAAACTAGGCATACGATATTATGTAGTTAACAGAAGGGAAATAGTCACTTCATCTAATGTTACTTTAATATATAATGGCTAAGTCTAAGTACTCAGAAAACTTCTGGGGTTAAGCAGACATACAGATTTGTCATAACCAAGTTTTTGGGCAGTGATTGCAGAAAGTAAAAGATTTGACCAGATGTAACTATGGTTAATAAGCAAAGTAAAAGCAGTTTAGGTGCCACTAGAAGATTTGGTTAGAAGACCTAATTGCTTTGTGTGCTTCGATTTTTCTATATTTCTGAATCATGTCACATTGCCACAGAATCTGACCTGTAATATTTATGCTGAACTATGTTTGATAATGCATAGCACTTAATCATTTTTGTATGCCCTTTATTTCTTAAATACACAAGATTTAAGTATTTTTTCCTCCTTTGTATTTTTGGCTAACTAGTTGCATCGTTGGCTGAACAAATTATCAGTTGGGCTTTTACTACTTTTAACTGTTGACTAGTCAGGTTTTTATTTTGTGCCCTCAGGAAAATTTTTCTTAATACATGCCAGATTTTTTTTTTAACTCTGTTTGCCATATAAAAATATTTTAGAAAATGGAGCAGATGAATCAGGGTCCTTCTGTCTGCTTCCACTCTTCCTTTGAGAGGTTCTACAGTACACATATGCAAGGGACTCTAGCTTGGAAGGTACCCTCCAGATCTGTAGCTTTGAAAGACATGTTAAAGCAGGTGAAATTCTTTTTTTTTTCTTTTGCAGTGATTATGGAGAATCTCATATTCAGATGGTGTATCTTAGGGTATACAAAGTAGGTGACATCCTACCTGTAATATTTAAGCTATGCTCTGTAGTTGAGCAGTGCAGATCTATCTGCACATTTTTCTGATCAGAGCTTGTATTGGACCTTGTTCATCATCTTCCTTCCTGATATCCCAAATCAGAGCTTGGTCTGCATTCTCAACAGTCCTTTCTCTGTGCCTGCTCTTTCTACTCTTTCACAGGCTCCAAGCTTTGATGTATAGATGAGAGAAGGAGGTTGTTGCCAGAGAAATACCTCTTGGCATTTAACTCTTCATATGTGCAAATACCTAAAAAGCCTTAAACCCCAAACAAATCAATTGCTTGCATTACCGATTGTATGAACAGCCTTGAGGTCTGACTTGAATTGTTTTATTGTGAATTTTATTGTGAACATAATATGTGGAAAAAGTGCATTCTTCATGGCTCTCTCCCCTACCACCCAAAAAAATCTAATAGGGAAAATACAGTTTCACTGTATTTTAAATAAGAATGCATTTTATGAAGACAGTTTACTTCAACAAGTTCTAGATTTTTTTCTACTACTAGGAGTTTTACTTGTGGTGTTTACTTTTCTCTCTGTGGAAAACCAGGGCTTTGGTTGATTTCATGAAAGTATGGATCCTAACTTTTCTCTCATATCATATTGAAATAACTCATTGGTCTAACCAGTTGAATAATAACTCTGCTGTCTCTGAGACTATCCTTCTTAAATGTGGAGAAAATAAAAGTTTGGATTTAATCCAGATTAAATAAAGCCTATAAGGACTTTGTAGTTTGTTTCTTCTGACCATAGCACAGCAATCTGTCTCTGAGATGATAACATCAGTGAATGCTTTTATGCATTTCCTAGTCTTTTTATGAAATTATTTCTTCAGAAGCAGTTTGGATATGCAGTGAACCAGAGGGGAAGATAATTAGGTTGGATTTGTGGAAGAAGTGGGAAGCAGCCACAGGTCGTTGTCTATTGCATGAGATGCTATAGGATGAAAGATGTAAGCCTCAACATCCAAGCCAAGCCTTGCTACACTGAGAATAAATGGCCGTGTTTTGAAGCATGTAGTACTAACCAGTGTTAGAAGGAGTATTATACTAAAGGATTTGCTGTTCTTTTCATTAAAATCGATGTATACACATTTCAAACATACAAAAAACAGTTTAACATTTTTGTTGTGGTTTAATACTAAATAAGAACTAGGATACTTGATACATTAGGATCTTTTTATATGTTTACTGATTTTTTTTTTTTAAACACCTCTTCTTACAGAAATAATTTCAATGTGCGTTTTAATAATAGGTTTCATTTTATAGTAAACATCCCTATGAAACTACTATGTGCATAAAATACAAAATCATACATTGAGTTTTTTCATTTGTCTTCCTTTGGCAGGATATCATTGACAGGCTTATAATTTTGAATACAGAAGCTAAAATTCATTCTTTATTCCGTTATGAACAATCACATATCTTTGGTCTGAGGTAAGATGCTCATTTTTTATTCTCTGGTCACATTAACTAAATAGGATATAACATGCTTGGATGTGTTGCTTCTGATAAGATAACTTTGGTTTTTATTATGCATGAAGGTGAAATTCCCCCTTTTTTTTAACATAAGATTAAATGAAAAATGGCCTACAAAATGAGAATTGCAATAAACCTAATGTTACTGCCTGTAAATGGATATATTGTAATATGATAAGCAGTAATAGAAATTGCATGTTATTTTGGCTAGTTGATTGAAAAGAACACGTGGTACATCCATTGTAGTGCATAAAACAAAAATCATACTGAAATACTAAAATAAACAAAGTATTTTTTACCATGTTCATATCAGTTTGGTTTATCTAGTCTCCCTGTACTTAATATTTTTTTTTTAAATGTATTGGTTTAATTATCACCAATTTCACCAGAACTTACTTTGAGAAGGAGAGTACCATTTGATCCCAAATATTTCTAGAACCTGAAGGAACACTTAAAATATGCTCACACTCATGCTCATGTTTTGTAATATTAAGTGCTTTATAACATTTTAACATAGAAATTAGTTTCTGCATTTTTTTCCGTTCTCCAAATCTGTATACATAAATCCTTGAATTCACATTTTTGTTATGAACATATCGTGTGCAATTGAAATAAAAGATCTGTTGGATTGTACTTCATAGTATGGAAAACTTCGATAACCTTGCTTGGGCAAGATATAGCCCAATTGATTAAGTACTGCAACGTTAGCTTTCTGCAGCTGTATTTCTACTTTGATATCACAGTAAAATTATTTCATACTATGTATGAATAACCATAAGATACAGTATAATTTGCTGATAAGGATGAGCATGGAGGAGATGAACAGTGGCAGAATTTGGAGTTGGGAGATACATGATTTTGCCGTATAAATCAGAAGTTATAAATGCTGTTTTGGAGGAAATCACTAGTTGGATAGGAATGAGAAGTCCTAAGATGAAATATGAAAGATAAAATGATATTCTTCATTTAGGATTATACTGACTCCATAAGAAGCTTGACAGAACTCCCATTGATTTGATAAGGGATAAGGGAGAGTGAGACGTTTTACAGTTTAAAATAATAGTTTGTTTTTAGATTGTGTTCTACCTTTATAAGGTAAAAGAGCAGATTTCTCCTACAATGATGTTAGGAACCCTTGTAAGGTATAGGCAAAAATGAATTATTCAATCTGATTGCATAAGTGGTTGACTCCCATGTTGTAAGACAGAGACTGGTACACAAATATATGGGTCATGTGTTGAAGCTGTGTTGAATGCTTACAATATTTTTAGCAAGGCCTATACCCTGTGAAGCAACAGAACTACCCATAACTACACATAGAAGCAACGTAACAAGCTCATCTGTAATCACATAAAAGAAGCTATACTGTTACACAGATAAGATGAGCTTCAGAGTTCACTGTGGCAATGACATTTTCTGCTGGACACTGACAAAGTTAAAAACCAAGTGAAAATCCAGTCAAACTGCCAGATTTCAAGAAAAGATTAAGTAGTATTTTCAGTGTGGAAACCTACTCATAAAAGTGGTAGATATCTTAATAATTAAGTAGTCATCAGATAAAGGAAACTTTTTTAAAACATATAAATATAATTTTCAATAGAGGCTTCGTGTTCTGCAGGGACTTTTGGAATCTCAGTGATACCTAGGACCTCATGTTTAACTTCATTTTTAACAGATTCAGTCTTTTTTTTAATTGTTCAAAAGCCCTATTCCCTTCCCCCCTGCCTTTCATTGCCTTTCCTATAAAAGAAAGGAAGATACAGTTCTAGGGATTTTAATATGGGCCTGTGTATACCACAGATAATGTAAGACTGTGTTTTCTTATTGATTAAATGGCTTTTCATGAGCATGTGGGGCTTGCTGTACAAATGTTTTTTGCAAATAGTAGAGAATTGTCACGTATAAGCCTTTTATTATGACTAATTCAACTGCCTGCGCAAAGAGAATTTTTATTATTGCATAGTTATTCAAAGTTCCCTATTAAAATGATACCAAAACTCTGGATCATTCTGGGATTTGTCATGGTTACTGTATTGTTTACAGTATTAAGGCTTGCAAGAAACCCTAGGCTATATTTTCTGAATATGAGAGTTACACAGTTCATTTTAAATACCTTTTGAAACCAAGTTCCATGAGCTTTTCTGTGAGCGCTGCTGACTGCAGACATCTGTGTTCTGTAAAGTGAACCTTGCCTTGTGTAGTTGGTTTGCTCCTTGACCAAATTCCAGCAAGAATACCAAATTCAGCAGCAGTTAGATCAAAAAATACCAGATGCTTAACAGATCTGAAAATTTAGAAAGTTAATTAGAAGAGCAAAAGATCTACATTTCTCTTCGCTGCTATGTAGAAATAAAATATTTAAGTGTTTATGATAACTGCAACATTGAAAAACTGAACAGTTATGTGACCAAATGATTTTGGTGAAACATTTGTCTAGAAACATTTCTTTCTGCTAGACTTAATACCAATAGTACAGCCAAACCCACGTTCTTTAATCTTTCACAGATTACACAGCCATATACTTTGTTATTTGGTCAGGTATCATTGTACATGTGGCTCACCCAGAGCTGAGTGCTGAAGTTCAGATCTGTTCAACTTATACGTTGTACTCTGAGGTCCTGTAACCCACTTTTATTGTTCAAAAGAGTTACAGATTTGCTTACTTGAATGTTAAGCAACTTCTGCAATTCAGAACTACATTTTTCTTCATGTGTATACTGCGCTTCAGTGACTTAAAATTATTTTTGTTACTAGCTGTGTAACTATATACAAAACTTAAAATATGTAGGTATTTCCACAGTCTGTTTAATCCAAAAAGCACAGGTGTATCTGTTTGTTTTTAATGTTAATATTGCATTTTCTGGTGGATAATTGTTTTCATTTTGAATAAGTATGAATTCTGAACTATTATTTTGAAGGACAGTCCTGCAGAAGCTCTGCTGTCAACTTTCCTTTTCAAGCTTGCCCACTCTGAAAAGCGGTGTGCATGCAGTAGAAATCAAAGGGAAAACATAGGGAAGCTAGTTATGGTTTTGCATAGCCAATATCTCTCAGTCTATAAAGAATGCTCCCTAGAGTGCATTCATACAGACTAGGTCCTGTGTGATCAAGGCAAAATATTCAGTTCCACAGCAAGCTATAGCCTACTGCGAATCTGTTTTTTTTGTAATTCTTAACTTGGAAGTATCTTAGCCTAGGATTCTTCTTCAGTAGTTTCACAGACACTGATCTGGTATTCCTTTAATTGCAGCTATTGTGTGCTTCTAGGACGAGATTTATTCACTTTAAGGTCCTTTTCAACTCATTTTTTTAAAAAATTATTGTTATTAAAGGGAAACTTCAGGCAAGAAGTTGGAGATAGGAATAGAAAAGTGGAAGTATATAAACAGTTCCTAACTTGTGTATAGAAAGATTTTTCAAACTGTCAGTTCAACTTTCAACTTCAAAGCAGATTTGTACTTATTTAGAAGCAGGAAGTCTCTCCATCAGCCAATATTGGTTGATAAAAGAACACTGAAGGCTGTCTCAACCACTCTTTTGTACAGCCTGAAAATCTGGGTGTGCAGGAATCGATGCAAATATTCTCAATAGTCTTTCTATTTTGGAAGATTCTGAATTTAAATTGCCATCAGAGCACAAATCCTTGAGAAAGGGACTTCACAGCAGTAATCAAAGTAATAAATTTTTAACATACTAAACACGGAGAATTTTCTTAATTTAATGATTAGCTTTATTTCTCTGATACAAGTGTACCCATTGATCTTATCTTACAAGTTATTGGATGTGAGAAAGACCAATTTTCATAAAGGTGTGTGTACCCATTGATCTTATCTTACAAGTTATTGGATGTGAGAAAGACCAGTTTTCATAAAGGTGTGACACTGGAGATCTTAACCACCTCCCTTTCAAGGCCAAGCTCTTTGAATCTCTGTAATTTATATTAACAAAGGAATTAAGTAAACAGCGTTAACATACTTTTTCTTTCAGACTGATGAATTACATGGCATCAAAGCAACTTATCTAGTATTTCAGTACAGTAAATACAGCCACAAGTTGTGAGTTTTTACAGCCTGCCAAGAAAATATATGCATAATATATATTTTCAAAGCGTCTGCCTAAAGCATTATTCAAGCATTTACATGTGGCTGTTCTCTCTATGCAGAAACTGAGTTTTCTGTGAATGTTAGTGACACTGTGTTGTTAGCTGGATTAAAGTGTGGCAAAATAGCAAATTTTTAGCTTCGATAACCAACCCCTCGTCCATAAAAAGTATCAGTACTCCAAAATAAATTCAAAGATATTCAGTCAGTGTTGGCTTGTGTAAAAAACGGAAGGAGAAACAGCATTACTGGGAATAGAAATAGTCTGTGAGCAGTGGGAGAGGGGCTCAGAGTTGGTCTACAGGCAGCTTTGCAAAAATTCCCCTCATTTAACGGAGTATGTTTATAACATATACTGGTCCTGGAAAAATGTTTTTTCCTTTTTTTTTTGGTGGATATATGATAATATGGCAGTAGTAAGCGTCTGAATATTTTAAAGAGGGAAAAAAAACCTCTTTCTTTGGCTATCATATATATATGCTACTACAGATTTTTTTTGTTTTTCCCTTTTTTTCCTCAGTGGCTTATTTTGGCCATAAGTCAATAAAACTCCTAAATACTGTGAGGTCAAAAGATCTTTTGTATGTACATTCCGAATCAGAAGAATCTTTGTTAGCCCCACACTTGTTCACTGAAACGCCTCACGCTAATGGGCGTCAAGCAACAAGGACAGCACTCTGTTCAAGAGTTTGGCTTTCTGCAGGAAAATACCTGGAAAACTCTGAGATTAAAATACTTTTCCTTTAGATGTGCAAATTGGGACCATTTAATTTTAAAGACAAAATGTGCTTGCTTAGCATTAGAGATAATCTGAAGATAACCTATTTTGTAGAATCGTAATTTGAACTGCGATGAAAA